AGGAAAAGGAGGTAAGTTAGATTTAATAGTGGGCGGAGAAGTGAAGGTTACCTTAGGATCCTTGCGAATACGCCCTTCCTCTTCAATTTCCTTCTCTATCTCCTCTTCACTTTTGCTTTTTGAACTTTCCACTTTAGGTCCTTCCAGTTCCTTGCCACTCCTCAGCGTCATGGCACTTACATTCCTGGGATTTACTTCAGGTTGTGAGGGTAACTTTCCATAAGCGTGGGACTCCAAGCGATTGATGGCAGTTGTCATTTGGCTTATTCGAGCCTCCATATCCTTCATGCCTGCTTTTGTGTCCTGCTGGAACTGAGTGGTGCTCATGGTTAAGGCTCTAGTTTCTTGCTGGAGTTGAGCCATATTTGTGGTCAATGACCTGGTCTCTTGCTGGAGTTGGGCGGTAGTCGTAGCCAGGTTGGTAGTAGTCGTGGCCAGGTTTTTGACTAGATCCTCTAGAGAACTTCCTGGGTTGGAGGACGAGGGTTGCGATTTTGGTTGCCATGGCTGGTGGAATCCTGGTGGACGATTTGGAAGTGCATTTTGTTGCCTGTTCCCATAACTGAGATTGGGATGGTCCCTCCAGCCCGGATTGTACGTGTTGGAGTATGGATCGTATTGCCTATGAGGCGCGGGCACGCCTCCAGCCATGTTCACTTGTTCCGCCCCATTCTCTTGCAATATAGGGCATGAGTCAGTAGGGTGACCCATATTTGTACAGATTCCACAGGCCTTCATTTGGGGCACATTCCCCACAGCTAATTGTCGAACAACGGATGTGAGCTCCGACAACTGTTGCTGAATAGATGTCGACTCCACCTCATTAACCCTGCGGGTAGGGTTACTCTCACGGAAGCCAAACTGTTGAGAATTCTCTGCCATAGCTTCAATGAGCAGCCATGCTTCCCTCGGGGTCTTATTTGCCAGTGCTCCCCCACTCGCAGCGTCGATGATACTCCTATCAGTTGATTGGAGTCCTTCATAGAAATATTGGATTAACAGTTGTTCACTAATTTGATGCTGTGGGCATCTAGTGCACAACTTGTTAAACCTTTCCCAATAGTCATACAAGGACTCCCCGGGATACTGTTTAATGCTGCAGATTTCCTTCCTCAAACTCGCAGCCCGGGATGCAGGGAAGAATTTCTCCAAAAACTTCTTTTTCAACTGTGCCCATGTGGTAATGCTACCTGCTGGTAGGTAATACAGCCAATCTTTAGCTGCATCCTTGAGAGAGAACGGAAAGGCTCTCAGTCTAATTTGCTCTTCAGTGACCCCAGGAGGTTTCATACTAGAGCAAACCACCTCGAACTCCTTAACGTGCTTGTGGGGTTCTTCACCAGAGAGACCATGGAAAGAAGGTAAGAGGTGAATCAGCCCCGACTTCAGTTCGAAAGCAGTATTCTCAGCCAGAGTGGGGAATGTGATGCATAAGGGCTGGTGAGTCAGCTCCGGGGTAGCCAGCTCCCTCAATGTTTGGTTGTTGGCCATGCTTACTTCGTCTTCCGCTGACTCGTTTGCAGCAAATAAGTGCCCTTCTTTTCGTCTCTTGGTCTCTTGCCTTCGCTTACGCGCTGCCTTCTCAATCTCAGCGTCGTATATCAATTCACCTGTGCGAGAAGAACGGGGCATAAACTAGCAAAAATACCAAGAAGAATAAAATAAAATAAAAACTGAATTTAAAAAGAAACAAATAATCCAAACGCCAACTCCCCGGCAACGGCGCCAAAAATTGACAGGTGCCGAACCTGCACAATAATAAATACCTACTCAAGAAAATTACAAATTTTGTATATAGCGGTGAGTAGAATCGAATCCACAGGGAGCAGGTAGGAAATTATTTCTTTCCAAATCAGTAGAACAGAATTGGGGGATTTTCAATGGGAAGCACACAAATAAAATAAAATAAAACAAACAAAATTCAAAACTAACTCGCAAAGCACAATTCACTGAAAATAGCAATTAACAAAAGTTCTACCCAAAGGATCAACTGCTCAGGCACGGTCCAATTAAATGCTCATCGATGCAAAGATATTTCACCCATTTATCACTAGGTTGGTTATAGCCATCAATAAGCTCTGACAACCAGCTCTTCCTTACTTTTTCGACAGTCAAGGTACGACCATTGACTGCTTCTCTAACCAGATAACAACCCTAGGTACGACCGTAGGAATTTAATTACCCAATTGCATTAAAGCTAGAAGAACCCAACCCTAACCAATAAACACGCTAAGAGGGTTTATTTAAATTAGATCTTGCGTTTCCCCATCATAAAGCCAATTATGGTGGTTACCACGGGGCGCTAACTAAATGAACAATTACGGATTCTATTTAATTAACGTGGCAGTAGGCTATTAAATTAAATCAAATACCCGGCCGTTGATATTCAATTAATCAAATACCCATGAACAATTAATTCAGGAAACGCACGAATAGCAATTAATTGGAGGAAATAATGAAGATTCGGTTAGATCTCACAGATATGATGGACCGCGCCTTTGCGTCAACCTTTGGGTAGAGGAGGAAATTAGCCGCTTCTCATCGTGTCAATCCCGCGTGATTTAGTTGAGTACATTCAATTGATTTCCGAAGAATTGGAAAAACACAAGAGGAATCTCACGGAATTTAGAAGAGTCAAAAGCAAACAGTGAAAAAGGGTTTCCGTTGTACAGAGCCCAGATGCAATCCGCAGAAATATTCAATGTCTGGCCGCTAGCCGCAGGCGAAACAAAGGTAAAAAAGAAAGAAACAGGAAAAAGCGTCTGACAAAAAGTAGAAAAGGAGAATTAAAAGCTCAGGTCTTGATTCTTTGTGAATCCTGCTTTATAGCCGCCGCCCACAAGTAAGAGTCAAAGAAGGAGACGTCTGGTGCAAAGCCTAGTGTTGTCTCCAGAGTTCTGATCCCACGTTCCGGGTTCACGTGGACCACGGTCCGTCTTTCGGTTTCGTCCACCTTCCAAGGCGTGGCCACGCCTTGGAACGGTAAGTCTTCTGGAAATTCATCCCGCAAGATCATTTTTCATGCCTACCACCTACAATTCACACAAGTATCGAATATGAGTGAAATTCCAATTCTTAGTACCGTGAATAGCCAAAATTAGGACAAGATAGTAGTGCAAAATACGCCAAATAACCGTTCTATCACAAGTCTAGTCGGAGAAGTTGATAAACTGTCGGAGTTCATTCTTCCCCGTGGAACATTCATGTGCTCGGCGATTGGTAAGGGTAAGGACAAAAATTGATGGCCGTCCAAGACCTGTAATGACCAAGACCTCAAGTAGCGTAAACCAACAAGCTGATTCGCCAATGAAGTCTATGCGGCAAGTCTTGCAGAAGAAGTTGATGAAGTTTCGATCGGAGTTCAATCTTCCCCGCGGAACATGCAAGTGCCGCCGCAATTTGTGTAAGGATTAGGACAGCACTGTAGTGTAACGACGAAGACCTCGAAATTCATGTCCCATGCAGCAATTTCTGTGGAGTTGATAAAGTCTCCATTAGAGTTCCGTTCGGAGCATGCCAATGGCGGAGCCAGGACCAGGACCCTAGAGTTAGGGCGTCAATTTACGATAGCACGATAATAGTAGAGTTTAAAATCAATAAATATGTCTATCTTAAAAATTTATACTTTCCTATGGTAAATATACTTTTATAATTTAAATTGTGCTTAAAATTTATATTGAAAATTACCTTTGAATTAACATTTTTTGTAAGTCTAACACTCTTGTGAAGGGTAATGATTATAATTTTTTAATTGTTTTTGGGAGCTCTGTATGATAGGAAAGGGAATTTTTAAAATTTTAGAAGGGGCAAATAAGTAACGATATTAGAAATTTCTGAACTTTCTAAGCTTAAAACATAATTTTCTCAAAATTGAGGGGGTGCAATTGTTCTCCCTCAACTATATGTGGCTCCACCGCTGAAACATGCAAGGGCCACCGTGGTTACTAAGGCCGACTTGCAAGGACTAGAGCAGCAAAATATCACGCAGGGACTGAATTAAGTACCTAACTTTCTTTTAGTTTTAGTCTATTTGAGTAAATTCCTAGGGTTGAAAGAGAAATGAAATTACTCGATTCTCAAAATGATCTCCATGAGAAAAGAGTTTGGTTTGCCAACTAATCAAGTTAATTATAAATAGTATTTTGTACTCTGTAAAATTTGAAATGTAACTTGAACTTGATTCAGTCAGCATAAAATTTGAAATTTATGTGTAAAAAAACTCAAGTTACTATAAATTGATTCAAGCTTGACTCGATTAATTGTTATTTTAGTTCAATTTTTTGATAAGCAAATATGTCAAATTTGAACGTATTGCTAAACATATTAAAATAAATAAACAAAATTAAACCTTGAAGTGTTTGGGTTGCTTAGACTCATTTACACTTGTATAAATGATGCCATTAGTAATCCTTGAAATTAAGTTCCTCGTGTTCTTAGTTAAATCCTCAACTTTTGAATGTGTCATCTTGGCTCTAATCTTATCAATCTTCAAGCCAAATTCAAGTTTTTTTTTCATTTTAATTGCCTTCCTTGGGTTTGACTTGATGTCAATTTAGAAAGTAGGCAAACATTTTTGCTGCCTCTTATGGTTTTATTTAAATTAATTAGTGTTTAAGGTACACAATATATGAGTGCCGGTGATTAAAATTATGATCACTCATAAATATTTTTCACAAGAAATGTTTTTCACTTGGAAAATATTTAAGGTTAAGGGTTTCTTGTATTGCATTTACTTATTTATTTGGTAGTTGCTAACGTAATTAAAATCTCTACATTAAGCTCTTAAAAATAGGAGGCTGGGGAGGCAATTAATCCACTAAACTACCCTTGAAACTATTAATTCTATATGTGTAGAAAAGGTAAATGTTTGCACAGAGCTGTTGTCTGTATATATATACTGCAATCAATTACATCAGAATGCACAGAGCCGTTGTCTACAGACAAAGCATAGCTCTTGTACAAGGGTAGCTTCATCAATCGTTCCACCAATTGAGCTGTGATTAAGAAGTAGGGTAAGAAGCTTGCATCGCAATGCCACAGAGGCCTTCTTTAGCTTCAATATCTCTTTGCATCAGGATGTATCCATTCTCACCCCAGCTAGTTCCCCAAGAATTCTTAACCAACCAATATTTGGTTCCATCAGAGCTTGTACCATACCCGACGGCTGTCACACCATGGTCAAATTCAGTCCCACAATCACCAGTGAAAACGCCGCTTGAATAGAATTGGAAGTCATTGCCACTAGCATCAATGGCAACTGAAACAGGTTGATTGGCCACAGCCTTCAAAAGTGCAGCCTCATTGTTTGCAGGGACATCTTCATATCCAGTGATTTTGGCAGCAGGCTTAGCTTCTTTGTTTGTATTGCAAGTTCCATCAACTGCTTGATATGGATAATTGGCTTCAGTAGTAAGACCTTTGTTGTTGATTATGAAGGTAAATGCATCATCCATGAGACCTCCATTGCAGCCTTGATCTTCACCAGCAGTGTCACAATCCACAAGCTCTTGCTCAGACAAGGAGATCAACTTGCCAGTTTTAAGCTGGTGAATTCCTTCCATGGCTGCGACTGCTGAAAATGCCCAGCAACAACCTAATATTTCGTGTTCAAGAGGGTTAGCTAGGGAAACTGCTGAAATGTTTAATGGTGCGTGAGTAATTCGAAAAATGATGGCTATTCTAGCTTACCACATTGGCCTTGGTCCTTAATCCCTGTGACTGCACCCTTCTTTCTCCAGTCCATGGAAGCTGGAACTGCACTAACATTTTCATACCTGAACAAGGTTCCTTTACATTCCCTCCACTGCTTGTACTTGTTGCTAGTTGTTCGAAACTCCTCATTGGTCAAATCAGCAAATTGGTTAATGCCAAGCTTGTAAGACTTAGTTCCTTCCTTGTTGAATGACTCGATATATTCCACATTTTCCTTGAAAATTTTGTACCTGTTGGCCTCTCCATGTTGGTTCTAGACCAAAATAAATCATACAAGTCACAATAATTTCTCTAATAAAATTTAACAAATAAATTAACAAAAATTCATACCTTAATCTTGCATTAAAAATGCAAATAATTTGTATCATAAAAATGTTGATTTGGCATGGGTTGAGGTGCGGATTAGGTCGCTCTCTTTAAGACGATTCGCGCCCCTACGGAGTATCCTCCGGTGTAGTAGGTCTCAGCACGTCGCCTCCAGGATACAACAGCCCAACCTTTTGCACACTGTAGTCTACTCGAATCTACACTATTGGAGCAAGACAGAAACCTTACACTAACACTGTTCTTTGCCCTATAAACTCTTATAGTAGTGGAGTAAAAATAGAAGGTAGTATAGAGATAGCAAAGTATGTATTTGGTTTGGTTGATAGATGCCTTATATATAGGCTAAGAAATTAGGAATATTAAAATACCAACATTGATAGGAATTAACACCTCATATTTCAGTTACAAATTGAGAAGTCTAGATTCATTGTATAACGGTAAAAAATTACTAAAAGAATTCATTAAACCTAATCATTACATAAGTTACAAATGCAAGACATAAATCCCATAAGTTACACATTTAAATGTTTCAATTTGTAACTAAAAATTTATTTAAAGAATTTGTAATTTATTTAATTTGAATTCAAAATAACTATGTGATATTTTTTATTAAAATATCCAGCAACCCCCCACTTATTTTAATAAAAATATAATATTCAAAGCTTAACACTTAATAGGGCAAAGATTAAAAATTCATGCATAATGAAGGTGGCAATGCCTTTAAACCTTCACTTAGTGCTCAACAATTCCCATGCTAGAGTCAAAGTGGACTTAGCCTTTAAACGATGACTACTTGAGGGCACGTGAAATCGTATCACACGCATGAACCTTTCAGTGTTCTAAAATAGGTTTCATAAGCCAGCACATTTATGACCTTGTGCTTTATCCCGGTTTTCATGAGTGCTCTAGAGAACCAACCCAAATTCTCATAGGAAGCGGCTTTACTTCCACACTCATATAGGTGAGTCTATCAAGGATGCTCCTATGACTTAGACATCCCATCCATAAGGGCTATAGAACTCATTAAGAGAATAAAAATCCCAACCTCACTTATCGTCATAGGATCACAAATGCACTTACATCATAGGGATAGACAATATAATCAAAGTAGTGCATATTAATCAACCAAATCACTCTATGATTCGTTTGTCTCCGACCTAGTTCTTAGGATCTCCAGTCCCTAGGTGGTTGTATCCTCATAGGTGATTTTTAACATATATTAGACTTTTGTCTTATCCCCCTCGATGTGTATCATATCCTTGACTCAAGTTTGAGATTTATTTTTTCAACACAAATAAAATAACAAAGATATGATATTCTCGAATTTTTTCAAATAATCTCTTAGTGGTCCAAATACATGGAACCAATCTTCGATGAGAAAATTTCTCATCCATATATTTTTGCCAAATAGTGTAGGCGTATATTTACTCAAAAGTAATTTTTTTTAATTTTTTCTATGGCCAGTAGTCTAGTGATGCACTAGAAGCCATTCTGAAAAAAACTCCATGGTTATTTTTGCTTTTGCAGAAATATCAAAAAATATTTCAAGTACCTTCACATCAAGTCATACTTTTCAGTGAATGCTAGTCTGCATAACTCAAAATAAAGTTAGAATAGATTCAAAAAACAATAATTATGTCATACTCATAAATTGAGCAAATAGAATGGGCATATATTTGCTCACATCAAGCAAAGCCACATTAATTTCCATCATTTCTGTAATCTTCTCAGTGGCTAGTAATCTAGTAACCCGCCACTCTCATAGTCCTCAATGAATTTTCTTTTGCAAGAAAACTTCATAAGTAATTCAAATCTATCCAAATCATGCCTCACTTTTTAATCTGCACAACTCAAATTAGAGATTAAGAAAATTCAAAAAATATAATAGTCAATGAACTATTATGTTTTAATTTCAAAATTCAACTTGCAAGTAATGCAAGCCTTATAATGAAAAATCCAAAGGTTTCAAAATTCATAGCTACCAGCTTAGTCAACATCCACTGTCCGCGTTTCCATCCAAGCATAGTCTCACTATAGTCATGCTTGGCAAGGAAATTAAGTATTCCAGTTTGCATTAAATATAAAGACAACCACATAGCAAACAACATGCAATAATTTAATACAAATCCCAAAGTTGTTGGTTGCCTGCAAATTGATGGCCTTTGACTCGAATACATATTTTTCAATGTACAACATCACATTTTCAACTCAAAAGTTCATATTCACAATTTTAACACAATACAAGTCAAGAGAATAGAGTTGTTGAGAATTATATGGCTAATAACTTTATATTTCACAACTTCAAGCCACCAAAGCTATTATCCATGTATATAATTTTTCCTTGGTGACAGTATAATCTTTTCTTCATGTATTATCAATACCGTTTATTGCTTGTGAAAATGCAAACCTTAAGCTTGACTAACATCATATGGATTCAAGACAAAACTAGAGAATTTTAAACCCCCACTATTTAAATATAACTTGAACCCTCATAATTGCAGTTTTTTTTTTTTATACATCTTGATACCACTATTCTTCAACGTGTCATAATCATGCACTCAATTGAAGAATGCAATCATGTAATTACATATCCCCACTATTTCTAACAATTATTCATTCAAGACTACTCATGGAGTTCATATGTTAAGATAGTGCAGAAATTGTGTTCGAGGTACTCAAAATGATATACACTCAAAGTAGTACATAAGCATAAGAGCCATCTTATTGGGTACAAATCACACACATTCAACAACTAAATAGTTGCAAAGTCATTCATATATTTTGAGATCATCGTTGTTTAAAAAGAGGCTGCCTACAGACTTGGAAATTGAACTTGACTCCAAGTTATACATTCATTGTGTTTAGTGTATCTCGACTGCAGTTGAATTCAAGTTGATGGCCTACTAGTTTACCATTGTTTGAACTATAATGTCATAAGACTTGTACTTTTGTACAGCATTTTATTTTTTTTTTGCAATCACGTTGAAAACCAAAACCAAGAAAATACTCATATACAAGTCTTTTAGGCATACTTCAAAACTATGAGATCGTACACATTAAAGTAATAAACTTTTAAATAGGAGCAATATCGCCTTAAGATTGTTGGTTCTAGACCAAAATAAATCATACAAGTCACAATAATTTCTCTAATAAAATTTAACAAATAAATTAACAAAAATTCATACCTTAATCTTGCATTAAAAATGCAAATAATTTGTACCATAAAAATGTTGATTTGGCATGGGTTGAGGCGCGGACTAGGTCGCTCTCTTTAAGACGATTCGCGCCCCTACGGAGTATCCTCCGGTGTAGTAAGTCTCAGCACGTCGCCTCCAGGATACAACAGCCCACCTTTTGCACACTGTAGTCTACTCCAATCTACATTATTGGAGCAAGACAGAAACCTCACACTAACACTGTTCTTTGCCCTATAAACTCTTATAGTAGTGGAGGAAAAATAGAAGGTAGTATAGAGATAGCAAAGTATGTACTCCCTCCGTCCCATTGTTAATGTCATGTTTTCACTTTTTTGTTGTCCCAAAATAAGAGTCTCATGGCAAAAGTCAAACAACTTTCACTATTACTTTTCTTTTATACCCTTAGTAATAATGACAAGATTCCATCAATTAATAATAAACAATTACATATGGCCCACCACAACACATGCACACTTTCACCATTCCTGTGACCTTTTGCTTTTAGCTGGCTATTTCCGTGTGTCAGACAAGGGGTAAAACTGGAAGAATATGAAAAGTGCAGTCCACATTTTACTGTGCATAAAAAGTGCTACTCCCAAAAAACGTCCCAAATTTTGGGACGGAGGGAGTATTTGGTTTGGTTGATAGATGCCTTATATATAGGCTAAGAAATTAGGAATATTAAAATACCAACATTGATAGGAATTAACACCTCATATTTCAGTTACAAATTGAAAAGTCTAGATTCATTGTAAAACGGTAAAAAATTACTAAAAGAATTCATTAAACCTAATCATTACATAAGTTACAAATGCAAGACATAAATCCGATAAGTTACACATTTAAATGTTTCAATTTGTAACTGAAAATTTATTTAAAGAATTTGTAATTTATTTAATTTGAATTCAAAATAACTATGTGATATTTTTTATTAAAATATCCAACACTCCACCTCCTCCTTGTAAACGCGTCCACACTGAGCCATCCATTGCTCGTGTTTTTCAATCATTGAAACTTCATTCAAGTTGCGCGACATGGCCTGAAAATCCAACGTTGCCAGAACTAAGAATGCAGCAAAAATGAGTTTCCAAGTGAATGTCGAACCCATTGATTTTAGCTCAAAAAATGTAGTTTAGAATTCAAAAGGATGTGAATGAGAAGGCACACTGCATTAAACATACTAGCTAGCTATTTATAGACTTCATTTTGGACCTGTATGATCACCACCATGAATCAGTTCAGCAATGAACTGAAATCAAGACTCCCGGGAATACCCGGCAAGTTAACGCATGAGTTGGACTGACAATCAAAGCTCAAATTGCGTAGACGTTGCTCCGTTAAAATTAGGCTTCGTATAATTTCTTTTGTCATATGATTACTTTTGATTTCTGATAGTTTGGACGGTAATGAACTAGCTTATATGCACTAAAAGTTAGATTACTGGATTCTATATCGGTATGATATATCCTCTATCTTTAGCAGTATATTCATACGAAATTCCAAGAATCAAGGTCTTAGGATGGATTCGGAGATGTTGGGTTGAAATCTTCCTTTCCCTTTTCTTGCTTCTTAAATTTCACCATTTTCTCGCTGAAAAAAATTTTAATAAAAATTCCAAAAATCAAGCGGGATATTGCTTTTGAAGAACGAGGAAATAAATTGGATACTGGATGGCATAAATGATTTTATAATTTTATTACCTTTTGCACTCATAGAGTTCAAACCCTTTCTTTGAAACGAGGACCTTAATTTGTTCTTGAATATGGTTGTATGGTTGTTTGTACCGGAAACATTTGTATGTACCCGCGTTCGAACATGAACTGGTAGGCATGAGCTAGACAAGCTTGAAAACGAATTTGGGGCCAACTTGAACAAAGGTTTTGATTCACAAGAAGGGAGTTTTTTTATCTTCTGGGATATTGATAAGTGCATATTTTGAGTGTTTTAAGTGTGTTTTATTAATTAATTTTGGTGTGTTTTAGTTATTTTTATAGCTAATTAATTAAGATTCTAGTGAAAAAATGCATTTTATGGTTTAAAGTGTGAAAATTGCATTTCTATGGATTTTAATGGCAAAAACTTCATGTTTTTGTAGGTTTAAGGATTCAATTATCAATTGAGAAGAGAATGAGATGATTATTGATGATTTGAAGTGGTTTAAAAAAGACATGAAATGTAAAACATTCAAAGGAAGAAATGCAAGTAAAAACAGTTTCGACACCTGATGGTATTTTACCTATATCTTGAGCTACAATGATCGAATTGAGATAATTCTTATACTATTTTGAAGCTAGATCTACATTTGATATGAAGACATAGAAATCCATTTCAGTCGTTTTCATAGTCAAAAAGTCGAAATACTAAAGTGCAACTCTGATGGTCGAAAGCTGAAACAAGGTTCTGACCAGTCAAGGGTATTTTGGTCATTTCTTGGTCCACAGAGCTCCAAATTAGATGATTCTTAATGCATTGGAAAACTAACTCAAAGGGCTACTTTCATGTTTCACACAAGAGCTAGTTCGGCCTCTAATATCGAGAAAATATCAATTGAAGTTGGACCAAAAATAGCGCAAGTTCGGACCTGTACTAAATCCGATCTCGAATAAACTTCTGCAATCAAAGGCTACATCCGACGGGAGGATCCAAGCTCGGATCCATTGTTGTAGGCCTCAGATCCCAATGTACAGTGAAGGTAAAAATGAAGAAAAATGAGATCTGAGGGGTATTTTGAGTGATCCGACCTCGGATCTGGCCCTCGGATCCCCAATTTTGACTCTGCAACTTGTGTTCTGTTCACACAAGCTTTTTGACCAATGTACTGCAAGAATTCCTGCTGGAACTGAGCAAACAAGTATAGAGAATTCAAGAAGCATCTTTTGGTGATTCCAAGGAGCAATTTACATCAATTGTAACAACTCACCTTGAGTTTGAATTCCTCTGTATCAACTGCAATTTACATCAATTGTAACAACTCACCTTACCTTGAGCTTGATTCCTCTGTATCAACTGCAATTTACATCAATTGTAAAACTCACCTTGAGCTTGAAGCCTTTGGAGGATATTTTGACAACTTTGAAAGGCTAGAGAAACTCACCAAAAATATAGTCTTCACTAGAGTTTCTTTAGTTCATTAGTTAGAGTAGTATAGTATATGTAGTGTAGTTTATCCATCTTGTATTTGTAGTTAGATTTGGATGAAGATTGAGGAGCAAGATGGAGAGGTTGATCTCATGTGACAAGGGTGATATCTCTTCTACTACTTTCTCTCTTGTATTTGATTTCATGTTTAGCTATAAGACAAGTTTGGTTTTGTGTTTTTATCATGTTTAGTTAAAGTTTATGCCTAGAGTTATGGTTGAATTTGTTATATCTTGTTAGTGATGTTTATTTGGTTATTTGATGATATTATTTGACCAAGTTATTTATCACTTTTGTTTTTCTAATCATGATTAACCAGCCATTAGTTGTGATTATCTAAAGGTGTTAAGTTTGCAATGAGAATTGGAATTTAACACTAGTTCAAGAAAATGATAAACCTAGGGTGTACACTCACGAGAGTAGAGGTGCACCTTTGTGGTTTTAGTGACTTATTTCATGTAATTTCATAGAAGAAATGAGTTTGGGGTTAATTTCATAACCATGAGAGTATGTATGGTTTAACTACAAGTATAGTTGATTCACTACGAGAGTAGGTTTCACATACATTAGGAAATTACGCCATAACTAACCAAAATAATAACATACAAGTAACCGGTAATGTCATTTGCAAGAGTAGTAAGAAATTTCATATCTCTAGGAGCTTTCTAGTGTTAATGTTTATTACTTTTATATTTATGGTAGTCTAGATAATAAAAGAGTTCGAAAAACACCGGTGATTGCAATCTTCCGTATGGGATCTACCCTTAATACGCTATACTCGTTCACGATTCATATACTTACGATAAATCGCGTGTGGGGTATTTAGGAGTTTATAAATGTAAAACTTGACTGTGGATGAGTTAAATTGTATATGTATACCCCGCGCACGTCAGATATCTTACGATAAATTTGTGAGAATTTTTCTATTTTTCATCTCTTTTTTTTTTGGTGAGATTTAAGAGATTCAATAGATCGAAGAAACCAAATCCGAAATTTCTTATGTGCCAACAATAATTGTTAGTTCCTATTACCTCACTTTATACACTTCATCACTTTCCCATAAAAATTTCTCTATATTCAAACCAAGCATTTAGGGTTGCCAATGAGACTCTATTCTAATACAGTTAACGGTGTGACCCCATAATTTAAAAGTCATAAAAACAAATCTCACTATGTTTGAGTTTTTTGGCCTTACCACATGCTACTAGTATTTGTCCCACCATTTGATGTCAATTTATAATATAGAGAGTTGTAATTTGTTGACATTGACGTTGCCATAAATGTTTCCATTTGGGTTTAGATTAATAACATTAAAAATCTTGAAGTTTCATCATAATCGTATTTGGTCACCCAACTTTTAATTTGTTTAATTGAGCCCTAAATTTATGCAAGTTGATTCAGTTTTAGTCATCATGAGTTTATTCACAAATCAACTGATTCAATTCACCAATACCTTAACAGTAGACATCTAAGATATATAGCTACAAAAATATGATTAAAAAAACCCACAAACTACATTTATGGATCAAATAGGATGTGGAATTTGCTTCACAAACTTTTTTTTATTAGTATCTCTATTCAAATAAGATCTTTGATGAGTATATAAATTCTTTCACAGTTTAGAAACCTATCTGGTCATTTACAATTTTACACCAACAGCTTAGGATTGTACTTTAAGCCCTCATTTCATGACTTTCGAGGGAATCAATGGCTAGATGCAGAGAGGGGCTGAACTGTGAAAGTGGTCCAGCACAAATGGCAAGATTGCCTCTTTGATTTGGATTAAGAAACAAAACATTGATACAGATGAAAATGAATTACTTACGATGGGCACTTCTGGCCTGTTCCTATTTGCCGTAAAACTTTGTAAGACTTGATTATAAAAAGGGAAAATAGTCAATTTCATCCCTAAACTTTTCACTAGCGCTGATTTAGTCCCTAATTTTTATTCCTAACCAATTTGATATGTGAACTTATTTTGCAATTCCAATTAAAGACTTCAGTGGTGGCTTCACCACCTAAAACTAATCTAGCTCTTAATTGACCAACTAAACAATGGTATTTTGGGAACATCAGTCATGGGGTTATAATAAATCAAGTAAATTGTGTAAAAAAATCACAATATTAAACTTTAAAAAGTTTTACCTGGTGATTTTTTACACGATTTAAAAGTTTTATTTGGTGATTTTTTATACGATTTACTTGTTTTATTACAGTCTCATGATAATATCCCTATTTAATTAGTCAATTAGGAGTCAGATTCGTTTTAGGTAGTGGTGCCACTGCAAGGTCCTTAATTGGAACTGCGAAATAAGTTCAAGTATCAAATTAGTCAGAAATAAAAGTTATGGACTAAATCGGCACTAACAAAAATTTTAGGGACAAAATTGGCCATTTTTCCTTATAAAAATAATTATCAATAAAAATAAAATTCAAGATTTTATTTTTATTTTGTTCTTAAAAAATGTCTAAATTTTAGATTCAAACACAAATGAAAAAATTTTTAAAAATTGATTATCTAGAATCAAAATTAAATATAATTATACAAGAATAGCCTCTTTATACAACTCCGGACTCTTCCGACCTCTCTCATTTTGTGAGGTTTTTATCTTTACACGTAATTACGTGAGTAGTTTTAATCTTTTAAGCTTTTCTAGTTACAAATACACACAAAAATTAGTTTCATTTTCCTTTTTCTTAATTTTGTAATCCTTTACTTTCTATATATAGCATTTTTTTTCCTTTTCATTTAAAGCCTAAGTATCATTACGCACTTTTAGAAAATCAGCGGAGCCATGATGTGGGGTTTGCAAAATGCGTAATCTAAGTGTGTTTGGAATTTTGGATAGGAGATTATTTGAAATATTATTTAGAATATTTATTGTAGCACTTTTTATG